ATCGTTGGTGTTCAAATAAAACTCCCTGTTAGACAAGTTAACTGAAGGATACGACAAAATTGACTGTAAACAAACATAATAGTAGGAGGTGTTATAAAGCCAACCACAAAACTTAAGTAACCCTAGTCTAAAAAAACTTGGAATCCTGTTACTCTAGATCTAAAATCTTATGCAAACAGTGGCACTAATCCTTCTTGAACAAACCTTATACTACGAGCTTTGAAGTATATTTCTTACTAGTTTAATAAAATAACCTTTCGCTAAACCGTTGTCAGTTTTATTTAAACTTAGTGTTTTGTAGTACTGTTTACTCATAAATAAAAGAATTGCCTAGAACGTAACCATAAATGAGCCACAACATTTATTCGTAAACTCGGATGCACGCTTTACCCAGAGACCTTTAAGTTACTGGATCTTTAAACTTTAGAAAAGAAGGGACTCAGAGACAGTATCATAAACACCTATGGAAATATCCAGGAATTAGAGGAACGACATGACAATTTAGACTGTAGGCCCAACTTCTACTTGTTACGAGTAGTCAAGTTTGAAAAGCTCACAACCGACTGAAGTTCTCTGAAGTTCTTCAAGAGGAAAGTAGAAGACTAAATTTTTCCATTGTACTAATGCTTATAATACTTGTTTACTTTGCATCTCTAGGTCCCTAAATTAAACAATCGCCAACCCAATACAAGCAAATATATGATAATTAGAAGTATTTGAATTATAGTATGAACTAAGAATCCCAGGGATAACGCAATTGAATCAAGAAGTACTACACAAGCACCAACGAATGTACTGTATTTAGAATTCGAAATCAGGCATTCAACAAGTACAAAGGAGTCATTAGTTCATTCAAACACCACATCCGCCACAGCTTAAATTAGAGTCTAAGTGTCTGTAATCAATTGTACGTCTTCTCCCCAAGTTCATGCTGTGTCTGTCCGACAATGTATTGGATAAAGACTCTGTATTATCTAGAATGCACTCATTAGTATTAGAATAAACAACTGAAATCGGAACAGACTCACTTGATTTCTGGGATTGTGTACAATCATCATGTCCGTTGAGTACTGAAAGTACTGCTACCTAGAATTTCAACCATAGACATTCAGACTATCCTCCCCCACGAAATAATGTCGGATCTTCATATCCCCAAGTTATGAATAATGTGGCTTCATTTAAATCATCTTTCTCAATTTGACTAGAGTAAACATTGGAAGTGAATTTATGATAAGGACAAACAATAATTGATATGGAATCATCTGAATTGTAATCAGACTCTAACTCATTTAATACTCGTGCTTCGCATTGAACAAGTTTCTCACAAGAAACAAATGCATCATGAGGACAAACAATATTTGATATGACATCAAGGTTCGATTCTTCTGAAATAGTTTCCTCGAATTTATTAAGAATGTCATTGCAGAGTAAAGGATCGTTAGAAAAATCAGCATCTATCAAAACTACATCAGTTTTTTTATCATCATTAGGTTCATTCGAAATATTTTCACCAGATTTGTAAGAAATTTCACCAGAAATATGTGAATCATTAGGAAAAACCATATCTGGTACAAAAACATGAGAAATCTGATAGGTTGATTCATTAGAAATTGTTGTCTCGCAAGAATCTTGAGTTTCATTTAACTCTGAACTGCTATATGACTCTAAACTGTCTTTTGAAATCGTCGATAAAGATAAATGATCATTATAAATATTCAGATTAACAGAATCAGAATCAAAAGACTTAATATTAGTTGCAGCAACATGAACAGTAGTATTACAAACTGACTGAATATGTCCAACATCAACACATTTAAAGCACTTACAATTACGAAATTTACATGAATTAAAAGGGTGGAACCTTCCACAGCACAAACATTGACCAAACTTGTGCCCATCCTCGTCAACTGCATCGCAATTGCCAAATGAATTATCTGCATAATCTTGAGTATGCACTGGGATGGGGCGACGTAATGTAGTGGAATTTTTTATATCCTCATGAATTATTTTACGAAATCTCCCTTTACCGCATTCGAAATTTGTATACATAGCATAGTCTAGAAGTAGTTCCTTGAGAGTTGTATAAGGAAGAGAAATGGGCTTTTCCGGTAAAGCCAAAATTTTTGTTAAGCTATATGCTTCTTTTCCGATGAATGTGAGAAAATGTGCCACAATATTAATATTCTCATCATCTTCCTTGGTCATAGCCCAGATTTCGAACCTTTCAAAGTAATCCTCATAAGCATCAAAATCCGAATGAATATCTAACTGTTCCATCGCAGGCCCCATCGCAACGCCAATATGATAATTAGAAGTATTTGAATTATAGTATGAACCAATAATCCCAGGGATAACGCAATTGAATCAAGAAGTACTACACAAGCACCAACGAATGTACTGTATTTAGAATTCGAAATCAGGCATTCAACAAGTACAAAGGAGTCATTAGTTCATTCAAACACCACAAAATACTAAAGCTTTCAAGTTAAAGCTTCCTACATTCCGTCTGTAACCATTTGAATAATATGAAATGGGATCAAAAATGTTTTCAAGGAGGCTTAACACAAGGTTTGATTATGAATAAACACTTGATTCTCTGAGTGGAGTCAAAAGTCGTTTCTTTTAAATTGAAATTTTTAAAGTCCGTGAGGACTTCACACAGAACTTAGTGCTAACTTTCCAGAATTTCCATTGTTTGCTCTTCATTACAAATATATAGGTCCCAACATAACATTAGCCTTAATCTATTTTTATCAGTGGTGCAACCTCATTGAGTGAATGCTCAGTCTATTCTGTCTACATCCGTTGCAAATAATTGTTAAGTTCGACTGTTTGAAAAAAAGGCACCCACTTTGGATTTCAGCGCTCCAGGGGTATCGCGACACTTTTTTGCGCTACTTCTTCATTTCTGCTTTGTGCACAGCCAAAATTTGAAATTTATTATAATTAAATTTGAAAAATCATTTTCCGTCTTCATAATTAAGTGAAAAGGGGTTTTTCCATTTTGCGTTACATGGTATCGCGAAGTCCTTGAAAATTCATTAATCAGGTGCTGCTATAATAGTTTTTTCATATTTGCATCGCAGATTGGCGATTATTTCTACTTAACTATACAAAAAGAGCAGAGAAATCGTTTATTTTTATATGAAATGATATTATCTAAGCATATATTGTCATAAAAATTGTATTGTCGTCAAGGCTACCAAAACTGTGTTACAACTAACGATACCATGATAACATTTATCGTTTTTCCCTTCTGTATTACAATTTTGGCTGATTTTCACTGTTTTGTTCGACTTTTATGGCAGACATAGGCTAATAGTGGAAATATTAACTGTTGTTAGTGTTGTCAATATTATGTATATGCTGTAGATGGTTATATCACATACCAATATGTTAATATCACCTTCTACAGTTAGATATATAAGCTACCAAATCATTATATTGCAGGAAATAAATCATAATCATGCGAGAGAGGTACAATTATGTGGAGATTTTACCAGAGAGTAAGCTAAGATTGCTTTATAAAGCTAATTAGCTCATAGGTAGTATATTATCTCTTGAACAGAGTTCCAATGTTCAGGCTGCCGGTATTCTTGCAAAGATGGCCAATAGCAGAAATAAGTACGATTGGGTAATCAAGATATCTTGATCTCAGGTGACCAGATTGTGTGAGATCGTATATAATGATCTTCGAAAATTACCGAAGGCCTGGCTAACTTATATGTTGATGCCGTAAATGACAATTAATTATACCTTGCGTGAGACTAAAATAAAAAAGGCACCAATAATTGCAGATTATACAGGACGATTCAATGTAAGTTCACATAGCAGTCTTTATATATATATAATGCAAATAAGCGTGATGTGCCAAACGCACTCTCGATTTGTAATTGAATGCCGGTTTCTCTTTTTATATTAGTTTTGGGTAAACATTTATACTGCAATACTTATTTCCTGTCTATCTTATTTCCAGCTGGCTTCGCAAGTGTTCACATACCTAATTGGAACAATTCTTAAGAACTGGAAGTTATTCATTAATGGATCATTTTCGTTGGATTTAAACTTTAATAAACGTTCTCATTTATAACACATCAGTGTTTTAATTACGGCAATGCTTACCTATCGTGACAAGTCGAAATTCGACCCAGTAGTATAGTCAATCATGTTCAAAGTTGCAGTGTTTGGTAAACAGTGCGTATAACTAATCGCGTGTGCGCTAAACTGGTAATTATTACACAAGAACGCGAAACAACATCCCTTTCTCACAGCGACATAAGACTTCACAGTACACTCTCCCTACCGTAACGCTATAAGAATGAGTTAATGCCCATATAAATAAATTTATGTGAAACTAAAAACATTACAATATTAGAACTTCTTGTCATCAAGAAGCATAGCTATGGTCAGTGTTAACAATGGATTCTGACTATGTGGCTTCATCATTAGCACCGATTGAACTCATCACTTGTGCGCATATTTCTTCCGATGCTTCGAAGCATGAACGGATGAGTTTACTTGCCAAGGGTTCACTAAGAGCATAGATTGAGTGGTAGTTATTAGTGAACTTCTCTAGCAGATCATCACTCCCGGTAGAGATTGACATGTTGTCCAGCGCACGAAGAACCAAGTCCATTATATATTTCCTTGTCCACCGGCTGCTATGTCGAAATAAGTCTACAATGCTTATAGAGACAAAGGAACACACACTTACCTCCACTTATTAGATCTTTAGAATGTGCGTACAGAATATGACCACAGGGCAGCATGTAGTCATTGAAACGCTCACAAGCACATCGTGCACGTGAAGTATCAACAACATACATCATACCCTTGTCGTAGCACCGGATGTATTCCCCTGCTATACATTCGTGTCTCATTGACCTAACACGTTTATAATTTACAGCTACAATTTTAGCTGCAAAAGATGTGAACTCATTTAAAAGAGTTCGAAATGACATAGGAACCTGGAACTAATGAAACATTTAACTATATTTCTTACCTCAAGAATTGGAAAACGTTGAAGATCCTTCACAGCGTCATATGGACGCAAACGTAGGTTACGAAGAACGAAGCTCACATATCAGACCGTCTAGTCTTTACAAGGTGTTCCAAGCATTTACGTACATCAGGATTTCGGAACTACAGAAAATAGTTTGTACAGCTAACACTTACCTTCCTGAAAAATGCTCTTAAGACATGGAATGAACAAAGTACTATGTCGGCATGATTGTGCGTAGACTGCACTGCTGAAATTTCGGTTGCTGCCGAATCCATAACAAAAGTGCGTGTATCATAAGTACAGCACATTATATCTTTGAAGCATTCCAATAATTTTACGACATCTTCTCGTCGTTCTTGCCTGCAAAGAGCATACATAACAGTGTGCCCTTGCCCAAGACTATCAGTCACCACTAGCTGGAACAGTGGAAAACTGTAAGATGAATTAATTGCTATTCGTTACTTACCCAACTTTGTTGGTCTGATAAGTCGAGTCAATACATACCACCTCTGGGAACGCGTGGTAAATAGATACCTGCTCCCTGCGACTGAAGCAAATCATAGATATGTTTCCATGTTCACTGAGTACTTTAACTTCAGTGTTTGCTTGAACGCGCTGTAAAATGTTATTGATATTTTTGGTGTCTAATCTCAATTAATTACAATGTGAGTTCAACAACCTGGGTACAACTGTGAACGCATTTTACAGATATCACCCTTGGTAAGCTGTTTATGGAACTTCCAAGAAACCAGATGCCGTAAACTACGAGTCGGCGTATTACTCATTAGAAAAGTTCTTAAATATAGACGTTCACTTGACGTCAACTTTCTTCTTGAAGGATCTACAGAAATATATCCTTCTGTGCAAGGATGGTTGTGCACGGTCTTGATAGAGGTGACTTTCAGCTCACCATTTACTGCACGGACCCAAAATCCAGATTGACAATGACAATATTTCGACCTGAAGGATAAATTAATTTGAAGCAAAGCATACGTAGATGACCGACGTCGTCTTCTTTGTCTAGGTTGTGGGGGTGAGTTAGAAGTTGTGTGCTCTTCGGAAGAATGATGATCACTATCATCACCTACATCCTGAACGCAAGCATCTGACTCTGACGAACTGCGTTTACGTCCATATGTACAAACATATCTCACGAAAAGATACTTTAGATTTGGGTCATCATTGTTCTTTTTGCATACTGACATAACGTACCTAGTATGCGTATACTACAAAAATAATCATTAACCACAGAAGTCATATTACCTTATGTACTTCTTTCAAACAGGTCTCAAAATTGTCCCAACTTGTAAATCTCCGAGATAACATGATATCATTGAAGATTGGTCCTATATCATGCATCATAACGATGGCATCATCTTCGTTACTTGAAGGATGAACGTTATCAGACATGGTGTGGTTGAACTCAATTCAAATCTAAAAATGCCTTGATTTGACCGCCTCTGAAAAACTTCACGAGTTGTCGATGTCACGCACCAATCATGTTGAAACAGTTTGACCTTCAAGTGCTCGCAACCTCCATCAGTGGACGATACCCCTGAAGCGCTGCCTTACTGTAGTGGGTAAGGCTGCTTGCTCCCAGTTTCGACTCCAAGATTGCCTTAGTCTAAGACTCGTGTTGTTGTTGACTGTTGTCTGCTTCATTTCTTAGTAAATTTAAGTGCACTATGTGCGTTTTTGGGTCATTGACGTACCTTTCCTTATTCTTTTTTTCAGCTCTGACTCGCGCTGCTCTGCGTGCTTTTCAAGTACACAAGTACCTACTAACTAGACGCGAACTGCCACAGTTATGAATGATAGGTTACCCGATGTGTTCGCACAAGTCTTAAAGAAGTACTCTGAAGTTTCAGACTATAAAGGGTCCTATGCCGATCCGAAATTTAAGGTTTTATCTCAATTTTGAGCTTTATTGTCAGGATCTCCTTATGATTGCGTGTCGATTTTGTGAAAATGCAATGAATATGGTGAATGAACTTCGCTTGTTTAGCAAGAATGAAAGCCTAGACGATCTAAGCTCTGCCGAAATAAGGTGATAATGCTATTCATTGGAGACTATTTGATACAGGTACATATGTCTTCCTGCATTACTTGGTTATTTCAACTCTCAGAAGAATGAAGATCGACCATCTTGTATTCGTTTGGCTTTGGTATGATATGTTTGTCCTGATTCGCTTGAGTTAGTCTCTCTACAAGGACTTTTTCAAACTTTGCTCAGATTATGGCGTGTTGTTTCCAAGTGGAGTGTCTTTGGAAAAGTATGTTTTTTTTATCTCTGGGTTTTAAATATTCCTCTGACTTAGCATTCCCTGTAGTTTTCTTAAGCTAATGTGTTTTCCGTTAACCAGAGTCAGCTATTTCTTCAGACGCTTTAAAGTTAAACAATTAATCAATTAAACGTTGCTTTTAATGAGTTTTTAAAGTTATTAAATGCAGAAATAGCCCTCGAAAGAAATCCGTGTAACTCTCCAGCATCTGTCTCAAGGTTTAGATGAAATTCTTTAAGCCATACAGAGTTGGAACAACTGTTAAATGTACTCATACATTAGTTTTTAAACCATATTTAGTGTTAGAATACCCTAACACCAGTTAACTACCATACTGTTGTTAGCCAAACATCACCATACGATTATGCTACATAATTTTGAAACTGGATAACCACTTGTCAATTGACTTAGATTAGCTTATAAGGATCTCGAAGTGAGTACCTGTAATTACAGAAGTAAGTTATCGGTATTGACGAAATGAATGATTTTTTTCAGCTAGTGCTACCTTAGCTGAAATGTTATACATGTTATTTCAATCTTTAATTTCATGTTCTGCTGCTAGTTTGGTGGGTATTGTGAACTACTGATAGCCAGACCAACCCATAGCGTCCGTTTATGCGTTTTTCTAAACTATGCAGAAAGCATGACCTTCCTGATCTGCGTCTGCAAAATCATAAATTCATAAATAAAAACTGACGTTTTCTTTTTTCAGACATTTTAAGCAGCGGTCTTGCTTAGGAATATGTTTCCAGGTAAAATATCTTGTGCATATGCTAGTATTATAGATTTATGTTTCTCTACATCTTACTTAGGAACAACCACAGTTCCGGTCAGTCCTCAATGTCAGATCTTGCACACGATCGTGAAGTCAAAATAAGACGTTATAAATCAAAGAAAGCACTAGAAGAACGCTTGGAAAAACTTGCATCGTACGTGGACCAACCTCATGTTGATGAAGAAACCAAGGTATACAATTTTTATACATTAGTAGTAAACACTACAAACTACTTTTTCTTCACTAGTTGTATCTGTCGGACCAATTCATAAAGTTGGTAGAAATTAATAAAAATTTATCTAAACGAACCTATAACTTCTTGACCCACGGTAAACGCTAAGATTGTAGCAAAAGCACCACTCATTATGTACACAGCCGTGAAGGCGACAACTAGTTACCTAAGATCATTTATAATCGACTCAACTGACCAGGCATAAGTGAGATTACATAATATGACACGGTTAGTGTTTGAGTGATACGTTTACAACGTGAGGTCCAGTCATGTAAAATTTAGAGGGGAAATTGTATTTAACGGTCCTAAACTTTTAGTTATAAACGTGTATATATATTGAATTTAGCGGTTTTATAAAGCACATTTAACAGGTAGCTAACGAAATCACATTCTAGTCATTATTAAAATCCAACTAACGAATCAACATACTTACGTATTCCTTATAATGCAATAGCTGGCATAAATTATTGGATTGATAGTTATACACCTTGATTCTTACTAACAATGCATATTTACAACTCCAGGGGTAATCATGATATCAAAGTCCATAAAAGTCATTATGTGTTTATGGCTATGTAATCATGAAGTTTTTCATGTAAATAAATATAAGATTTCTACTGTACCTTGACGTCTCATCAACTGACTACTGATTGCCTAATGAGTCACTGTCATTATTGAGGCGGAAACCTGGAGAACTACGAAAGCCATCCTCCAGAAGATACGGGTGTTTATTAACAGTTGTCCACGCAAAATACTTCGGATCCGCTGGCCGGAAACTATTAGCAACAACCTACTATGGGAGAGAACAAATCAGATCCCAGTGGAGGAAGAAGCGTTGGAAGTGGATAGGACACACATTGAGGAAAGCACCGAACTGCGTCGCAAGACAAGTCCTCACATGGAATCCTCAAGGCCAAATGAGAAGAGGAAGACTAAAGAACATTACGCCGGGAGATGGAGATAGACATGAGAAAAATAAACAAGAATTGGATGGAACTAGAAAAGAATGCCCAGGACCAAGTGAGTTGGAGAATGCTGGTCGGCGGCCTATACTCCATTAGGGGTAACAGACGTAAGTAAGTAGTAGTAAGATCGAGTTTCGTCAAATTTCTATAAGATGCATCAGCTCCAGTTTCACCGAGAAGCATTTGATCTTAATATCATCTCCAATTCACTGCTAAGTTCGTACAAATTTTTGAAATCAGCATTTTCAGCAATACTGCCAATGTAAGACACCAATATGAAATGTAGGTAAATATGTAAGCTAATAAGAAGTGATAAAAACTTATGGTAATGTGATTTCCAAGATTTAGACAGATAATAAATAATTGATTATCTGTTTATTTTATTGGTGTTTTTTTCATTTAATTGATACTTTGATCCAATCATCCACAATAACCAAGACAAATCAATCTTTAAGTATATAGTCACTGTAGAAGAATGTGTCGAAGACAGTTCCTCGATTCTTTTTTTAACATCTTGGTCTTCAGGGAATTAATTACACAACCTCAATTATGTACGTTTATTTTGTAGCGTGAGTTCAATGTAACTCTTGTTCAAAGATGGCTTTGCGTCGCGCAAGATGATATAATCAGTCTACAAAATGAACTGGACATTCTCGAGAAAGGCAATTCCATAAACGAGAATAACAGAAATGTGACCAGATCAGAACCTTTGCGACCATTTATAATAACTCGGTCAGCTGCACAAGCCGCAGTGTTCGGTGCTGGTTATCCAAGCCTTCCAACAATGACTATTGAGGAGTTTTATGACCAACAGGTTAGCTAGATTGCTATTGTATTTTACTGCCATCACACTGTTCTTTAAAGCAGAACGACGTATTAGTGGTTACACCACTCTATTTGCAAATAATTACAATCAAATTCAGATGTTACTTGTCCAGCTTTGGTTTTTGTGACCAAATAGCATTATGATATATAACATTATGAGGCTAAAAAATAAATACATAAACCCGTTCTTAAAATTGGTTAAATTTCGTAAGTCAACGTTAGTGAAAATTATAGTCAGCAAGTGAAAACGACACTTGAGAGCATATCCATTCCTATCTGATAGTTCAATTTAATTTCTTTTACAAAGTCTATCATCCTTCAAATTCAAAGGGTAAAGATTAAAATAATGGAAGCAACGTTTTTTTTTCTAGTCAAGTCCTCTCAGTCAACTTTTGATAACACTTCTTGAACGTGACTGAATAAAAAATAGGAGTTTGACTACTCCGATTTATATACTCTATAGATAAATGTCAATACTAATATATTTGCGAGGGAACACGTTGCTCATCATAAATTTTAACAAACTGAATAGTCATAAAATAACCAGCTGTTACGTAGATCTTTTAATTCTGATGAAGTGTGACAATACAAGTTTGATTGCTTTTATATATATTTTTAAAATCACCTTGAAAAATACTAGTATTTACCGAACGTGGCGTTCAGCATTATCATTCATTTAGAATGCGAGAATTAATTGAAACACTAAATAGTAATTTTTAACGTATCAAACGGTTCTTCCCAAAAATAGGACTACGAAACTTTAAAAAACCTGTCTTGTTTGTGATGGTGCTTTCGTTTCATTAGATGTTGGACTTTTATGATGTAACTTGGTATAATATCAGCATTGATAATGTTCAAAACGACAATTACGTAGCTTAGAAAACTCACTAGCATCCCAGCACAGGCTTTCCACCTCGAAGAGCAAAGGAGACACCAAATACATATGCGCCACACGAATCTCAATTGATTTGTGTGAGGGCTGTGATACTACCCGGGTGCCCAAACCGAAGCAGGTGGTTTTCTTAGGGGGCCACACCCCGAGCCTTCGACCTGAACGTCTGACCCACAAGGCAGTGGAGCATCGTAAGGAGATGCAGTCCGATGGTAGCCGGTGACCAACGATTGGTTCATACGCCATTTGTTCCTTCAGGATACTGGAGCCAGCCCATGTGCACCATTGGTTTGGGATCCGGTTAGAGCCGGTGCCGGACATTCGCTTTTCGTCCTCTCATTTTTGTAAACAACACCCCCGCCACGAGAAGGCAGTGAGTAGGACTTCCCTGGCAAAGGCTATATACGCATGGCCATGTGAGAGCATTTCGAGAGGGAGAGCGGACTCCCCCTACTCTCGACCGTACCAGGGCATGGTATCAATTGGTGAAGTCACTAACTGGTGGTTTGAGTCATATATGTAGATGCAAACTACCTGGTCGTGGTCTGCATGATAACCGTAGTCAGTGGTCAGAGGAATCGAGTGTCATGGCTCTGAATGGATCACAATGGTGCAGATACATTAAATCCCCTAGTTCTGGAATTCCAGTATCTCTTCATACATACCTTTCCTCTGTACTTTTAAATCATATTCCTTAAATTTAGTTTTTCTTTTTTTTCAGTACTACGACATTGTTTCTATCCGTTCTGTTATTTTCCTTTTATCATGCTGATTAGGTGTGGCAAATCAAGCCAACCCAAATCTCTGCCAGGCTCTTGGTTAATAAATAACATCAAAGGATGCCCTAACTTCTTTAGTTCCTAACAAAAGCTTTATTGCCTTAGTTATATAAAAGTTATTGATACTATCCAGCTCCCAAAATCAAATTAGATATTGTGTGGTTTAAACTTCAACCTAATAAATTAATGTTAAATGTTTAAACCACAAACCCACCCCTCTATTCATACCTACTAGGTATTTCTCCAGTATTTTCATTGTTACTTATTCGCTGTAATTCAGTTGTCTTTTTTCAAATATTATAACACGATCACTAAATAAACTCAGTTTCATTAATTCCCTTTGTTACCAATTTATTTATTCTGTTTTTAGGTTGCAGCTGGTTTATTACCTCCTCCAAGACCTATTTCTCAAAGTGGATCACGACCAAATGTGACGCGGATTGATCCATCAGCAGAAGAACGTGAAGCTGAGGAAAAGAAAAAGGCTAACCAAGATGAATTAGAGGATGCCGATGATCCTGATATGTTGTCAAAAGCTCGATCATTCGATGAATTCAAAGACGAACATCGTAGAGGTAGTGGGAACAGAATGAATAGAGCTTAAAGATCTCTGCTTACTATGTATAGGTTAAACATTTATTCAAGTTGTGTATAAATGCTAAATACAGATACTGAACTAAACTTCTTCGTTTTCTCTAGTTTAATATTGAGTGATAATTTTATTATTTATTTTAACACATATGTATTGGTACAAAGAGGCATCAAATACATATGCGCCACACGAATCTCAATTGGTTTGTGTGAGGGCTGTGATACTGCCCGGGTGCCCAAACCGAGACAGATGGTTTTCTTGGGGGGCCAGACCCCGAGCCTTCGACCTGAACGTCTGACCCACAAGGCAGTGGAGCATCGTAAGGAGATGCAGTCCGATGGTAGCCGGTGACCAACGATTGGTTCATACGCCATTTGTTCCTTCAGGATATTGGAGCCAGCCCATGTACACCATTGGTTTGGGATCCGGTTAGAGCCGGTGCCGGACATTCGCCTTTCGTCCTCTCATTTTCGTAAACAACAGTAATGCCACGAGAAGGCAGTGAGTAGGACTTCCCTGGCAGAGGCTATATACGCGTGGCCATGTGAGAGCATTTCTTGAGGGAGAGCGGACTCTCCCCACTCTCGGTCAGGGCATTTGAGTGTTATGAGTATTCTCTATCCTATTAAATAATATGCATTGCTCTTAAGTTGGAAAAGGCTCGACAGTAAAAAGGAAATCACTTGTTGTCCATTTGAGTTTTGTACAGACTTTCGAATTGAGCTTCAACAGATAGCTATGATTTGTGGCCAGAGACTAAGTGACATGGCTCAAAATAAGTTGTGACAGTTCAACCGCATTTCTTGTTTATCTTATTCTAATTCTTTTTTATGGTACCGCCTCTCATCTTTCGTTCTGCAATTTTATCCATTTCTTTTGCGTTTTCTCTTTATTCATAGTTTTCATTACAGTAGCTAGTTTGTTTAAAAGTATATTCACAATAATTTATGATGAGCCAGAAATTTTGTTGGGATCATGAACTTAATCGATCAGATTTTCAAATATATCACCAATCCGTGAACTCAGAAAGAACAAGTTTTGCTTAAATGAATAAATTCGCTCCTTTATTACTCTCCAACTTCGATTTGTTAACATCGGTTTTATCGAAGTGTAGTGAAGATCTATGCTTATTAACAAGTTGTTTTGCAACAGATCGTTATTATTCAGTGACTTGACGAAAATGTTCGAGAAGTTAATCTTGCTTTGATGATCCAGACTTTTCTTTATAAAGTTTAATTGTTGATTTGAAACTCTGTAGATTTGATGGTATGGTTTAAAATCTATCATAGTCACGGAGATACATGTATTCATCTTATTACTGTAAGTAGTGACTGTCATGTTTTTTTCTTTTTTTTTGATCTCATCCAAAGTCAATGTTTTTTTTGTTCGTTTTTAGGTATCATAAGAAACACTAACAAAAACAATGTCGAAGAAACCTAAAGTTCAATTTATTCAAAACGAAGAACCGTCGTTTATAAAAGAATTTAAACAACGTGCTGGTATTCCGACAGCTGCAACTATCGACTCGAAAGTAAGTTAGTAGTTACCATATATCACTCATATTAAGATTACTGATTACAATAACGGTTAACAAACAATTTAATAGTAAAGTTTCTTAGAGTTAATGCCTCCTCTATTTATTACTGTTGTTTTTCAGCGTACAGAATTAAGTATTGATGATAATGATGAAGATGATCGACCAGATGAGCAGCCACAAATAGTTTTTGATCCATGTTCTGATGTTCATGAATTAGAAGCAAGAGCATTTATTAAACAATGGCAGTATGAACATAAACTTGGTCACATAGAAGAAACAAATGTGAAAAATGAAGAACCAGGTAAAATTTCTATTTATTTTTTTCATTCACAGTCCCTTCCTAATTTTATTTTCTTTATAATTGTTATTGTAGGCGTACCAAGTCGAATAATGTTTCGATCTGCTGAAGAACGTTGTTCCGATGGTAAATTCCCGGTAAAGAGGTCAGTTAGTGAGATTCATTCAAATAATCGACCACTACCACCTCAACAACAAAAACGGTCTATCCGAGATCGTTCACCCATTGATTCTAAACGTAAAGACACGAAATGTTCATTGTTATCATTTGATCTGGACGAAGATGAAGGATAGATTATAATTATTGTTATTCCCAATAATGTTTGACGCTCTTATTATTGTAACATATTTTTTTTTCATTATCCTTTGGTGTATATGTTGAGTAATTATAGCGAAATATATTCACTACTCAAATATCTGATGTTTGTTACTCATTGACATAATATTTCTTTCATAAATATTTCACTGACATGTTTATCATATTAGAATCCGACAGGATATCGCTTCAAAACTACCACCGTGATGGGTCATTAAACCAAAGTAAAAGAAATTTTACTTTATTCGTTACTCATCTTCGAACTATATTTATTTGTGTAAGATCAGGTTACTCCAGTCAGCTGCTAAAACCGAATTACGTTGAATGATTCGAATCGGTAGTCTCATGGTTTAAAATCGAGCGCTTTAACTATTTATTAATGGAACCAGATGCACTTGAAGGAATAAAATTAAACATTAAGTAAGACAAATACTGAGAACATGTATTTATGAAAGGGAAAGAAGTACACTAATGTCATATTAATTTCAGGTTTATTCGCACAAATACCTCAATTAGAAATATATGCCTGACTCATCAGAAATCCAACTAACCAGAATTTTTCCAGGTCTATATTTCATAATCCAGATATTTTACAAGCAAGTTACAGTTATTTTAGTCAGTTTTCATTGATATTCTAATCGAGTTTTACAGTACTGGCTTGAATCTTAGGCATCTAATTCATTGAGTAATCCGATCACGTATGTTAGTGTACAAGTCCAGATAACTACCATCTGACTTTAAGTGTTAGTTATTTCAATGGGAACTGTACAGATCAAATCTATGCCAGATCAAGGCATAACTTGTCGATGATTCAGATGAATTCTATCATGAAAATAATCTTTTCATTGAGATCAATGTTAGACCACCATTGAAAATCTAGGAGCACCGAACGGCCATTTTGTATTACAATGGGACTACTCAACAGTGCACATAACATTCCCTCACGCAGAACTTTTGGTCTCGCACGCGAATATTTAACCTTCAGACCACTGAGCTGGCATTCAACCGTGTTAATGTCTAACTTCAACCAATTCACGATATTCCACAACCATCTTGTGCTTAGTAACAAAAGACATTTCGGTGTTTATTCGTCCATAGTTTCTTAATTACCGAAATGGTGTCCACTTATCCTGCAGAGAAAGAATGTGTTTATTAGGACTCACTTGCACATTTTGTACATGGGAAGATAAGAATCATACTGGGATTTCTAGTACAACAGTTATTCAAACACTAAAGCAAGTAGGTGTCAACAACTTAGATTATTTGAACTTCTGGAATATAAGAGTTGCACCATTCTGCTAGGTTCTTAAATAGGATCTAAGCATGAATTAGTGAGCTTGAATCATTTAATCTTTGCAAAATGATACCCAAACAACTAAATCTGCTAAGCATACTTGACTGTTTGGTTGGTGAAGCAATGTATGTTGAAATAAGGAGACATCTGTAACATACACTCGGTTGATACTCCTTTCAGTAGAAACGTGGTTAGCTCATCGAAACGTTTTAGTCGCATCCGCTCGTCAATATCTAGAATCTGACCGAAACCGCTTACCATACTGTGTTGTTTGTTTCCCTTCCTAATGAATATTGGTTGTTAGATTAACAATAATATATCCTGGTGTTCTATTCATTAAGACTATTTAATCCTGGTTCTAATGAGGTAGTCGAAATAATTATAAACAAGTTAGCTAAATTACTCCACACCAACGGACATCTATCATATACAAGTTACCGACCCGGTTACAAAGAAAATAGGATGTCGGTACATTCTGCTGAAATCATTTGAACCAACAGAATTAATTGCAATGAAGATATATTTCAGCATCCTGACAATCACGTTGAAGAACAAACAAACAAAATACCCATGTCGACAATTTTCCGTTATGTTTTGTAGGTTTGATATATTTCCAAACTCAAAGTCAGTTCGTTATGGTCAACACAGAACTTGGGACATACATAAGCCTTAAGTTCTCACACCATCAACATATTGAGATGAAATTACATGATTATTTATATGAACTCATAAATACATGTATAAACGTACCTTGATTGCTTCCCTTCGAAACAACACCACTCAAAAATTGCTGACTGATTTCTCTTCGTTTGGCGCTGAGCTAGTCTCGTTTACTATGGAGTTTTGGTCGATTCATCTATAGTTTGTACAGGTTGGAACTTGAAAGTCACAGGGAACAGATAATAATTCATCTGAAAGGTATCCTCTGACTTCTGCTACCGGTGTTATCCGAACCAATAAAATTAGATAGGAACATTGGAGGTTACTTCCAACGTGTATATAGGAGTAAATTTTCTTATGATGAAAGTAGTTTGGGGTGATCTACTTGTACTTTTCTTTGATATTCTCCATGAGAGTGGAAGGACTGTGTCTTATTTGAATTCTTTTTTTCTTGAATTGTACCACATACTAAACACTATTCATGATCACTTATCGCCTTTATTTCGTCACAATAGTATCTCTACTTGTGTAGTGCATAATTTTAAGGTACTCAACTGTACCAGAATTAATGCGTTTACTTAGTAACTAATAAACGATGAAAACAAAGTGACTGACAGGTTTGTCATTGGGCACTTAAAATCAAATAAAACTTGCTACTATCAAACTGACTTAAAATGTTTTATCAAGGTCATTAGAACAAGGCATTTTTATCACAATTAGCATAGAGTTGTAAATTCTTAGCTTGTAGAACATATAAATCTTTTTATCTCGATATTTACAATTGAGAATTATATAGCATAACTCTCTTTCCCCCTCCCCTTCTCAACCTTCGACGCTTTCTTCGCGGCCTTACCAAACACAACTTCAGGAGGCATCACTTTGTAGACGAACGCGTACGCGTTCTGTAGTCATATACATGATTTTCTCTACTACATGCATTACGGATTTTAGAACCTCTGAACCTCTTTCTAACCTTGACGAGTTTTTGAACCATGTATAAGAAGTGTGTCCACAATAATTCTTTGGTTTTGTGCAATGTATTTTTACCCTGTACTGACTGTTTGCTGATTGGCTAATATATCTCAAGGTCATTTAAGATTCATTCAAACGTCGTCCATATATTATAGTCTCGCCGATGGTTTGGCCGTGAAACTTTCATCGTTCATCTGAATGACATCATCAGCACAAACTTCAGGTAAAAGTGAAGTGTTCGAATTTCTCCTGTCCTGTACACCTAGATGTTGATTGGTCCTTATTGACCTTAAACTTGTCATTGACAAGTTTGTGCTGATGATGATGTCGTTCAGAAGAATGATAAAAGCTCCAGGATCAAACCATTCAGCTTAGAGAACAAAACTCTATCAAAATCATCCATCTGAGCTACAAATTTATTCCTATACTTTTAAGTTAATAGTAAAAAGAAAGAAAATCTTACAAAACATTTATTGAGTAATGTATAATCATGAAATTAAACATGATTCACAAATTACTATTAGTCACTCTCTTCATCGAGTAATATAATATATTAATTCGACTTAACAACAATCAATTCATCCCATAGATCATATTACATAAAATAGAACTACTGTTGTATATGCTATTTTCTCTCGGATCATTACACACACACACACACACACAGTGGTATCAAGTACATTATTTATAATCGAGGTAGTAAAAGGAAACCACTTAAACAGGATTACATAATTAATAAGAGGAATGGAAAGAGATCAAACATTAATTTTTTTAGAGAAAATAAACCATGTTTAATTCAAGTCATTAAAACGAACAATTGTATGTATGTATGTATATACAAACCTTGTCCGGTTCCAGTTTTAATGTTTAAAGAAGAGAATAGTAGATAACAACAAAGAATGTAATGTATATGTATGTGTTTTACAAAGAAAGACAAATATTTGGCAATTGCATTTTTTCTTAGAAAGAAAAGAACTTTTTGTAGTTTAACCTAAACGACCACCCCCACCACCACCAAATGGTCCAAAACCACCGCCAGCTTGTAATTGACGCATCATATTTTGTAGACCGGCCATACCGCCCATTTGTTGTAGGATACGTGGATCAAGTACTTTTGCCATTGATTGATTCAATTTTGCCATCTGACCTGCACTGACAGATCGTGAAGCCGCAGCCATTTCAGCTAGGCTTGGTGTATTCCCACTACCTCCAGCTCCACCTCCGCCCCCAACTCCACCAGGACCACCACCTAATCCACCCATAGCTCCACCTTTAGATCCAGTTTGAAATAATCCTTTGATACCACCCATTTTTTTGACAACCATATAAAATTTGTTATGTTGAGTTAATAGAAGTTTTACTTCGGCTTGACTAACACCTGCCCCACGAGCAACTCGTAATGTTCGTCCAGGTTGTCGGTTAAATAACCGTCCTCCTTCATCCGAGTCCAACTCATAATCATTCATACTATCCATAATTGTCATAAGACGTTTTAAACGTCGATGACTTTCCTTTTATAGATAAAGAAAAGAATCATATGGAAAAGAATGTTTGGTTAAATTGCAAGAGAAGATAATACACAGAGGACAAATAAAATTCATAATATTGAGAGGTCATTTGATTATTGAAAATTTACAGAGATAACACAAAGGATATTTACTTTGATTCGCTACAGTTGGTGAAATTATTCTGCAAAAAAAGCTGTTTCACGTACATTGTATATAAACTATGGTTAATATAACCATGTAGTGAACGAGAACTCAGATGGAGAAAACCACACAGTAGCTTAGTAAAATATGAAAATCATACACTAAATATATCATTTTCACATCTTGTTTCTGTTACCCTTTACACACTTTATTACTTCCCTTATTCTGTTGTTATTTCAATTGTTCACCGATTTCCTTCCTGTTCTCTTCATTGTAATCTTCTGCTGACAGGCATTCACCTTCCGGCTGCTGCTATATATTACTTATATCTGCCAGTATAAGTAGTATACACCACACATATCTAGAAGTACATATGAATTATTGTATGAAATCAAACAAAATGGCTTCAGAGTACTCACCGATTCACAGTTTTTTTATGTCCAATCTGTTATCTACCATTGTGGTAGATTGAAAATATCTTCAGTTTAAACATTACGAAACTAACTTTCTTCCCACCATTAGTCA